TTTTTTAGAGTAAAAAAAAAAAATGTTGTTTGAGCCATTAGTTGAGTGGGATCAAGAGGATCTCGAATATCTCGAAGGGTTGGAGAGGAGTTTGACCCCATGGGAGCAAGATTATTTGAAGGAGATGTACGAGCAAAAGGAGGAGTATGAAAGACAACTCAAGATCATGAAGGAGTTCGTCGAAGAAGAGCCATTGTTTGAGCTTGATCTATCGGGCTATGACAATACGTATAAGAAGGACCATGCGGATGCAGAGGAGGCAACGTTTCAATTGGTGGTGGTCGAGATCGAAGAAAGAGTGCCTGATGTTTGGATGGTTGATGATGAATCCTTGAGGACAAGGATAGTCTCGAAGAGGAGGGGAATGATGCGGAAGTGGGTTCCGAGCCCCGACGACAAGAAGATCCAAGAGGCGAGACGACCCGATGAGGCTAGAAAAAGGGCCAAAACGACGCATGCATGGCCTAAGAGACGGGTGCGAGCTCGTATGCGAGGCGAATGGGCGAGTGCGTATCGGGTGCTAAGTACGTTTAAGCGCGCACGGCGCTGGGCACAGGCAGGTGCGCGCGGGCGATGGGCCGAATAGGCGCGAAGCGCGCTGGGTGCGCGACTGGAAGTAACACGGGCATCCGAGACCGCACGGGCATAGGAGTCAGGGGCAGCGTTAAGCACGCGCGCAAGGAGGCCAACGATAGCAGGGTGCGCGCGGTAGCGCGCAAGTGGCCAGCGGACGCACGAGACCTAGTCCGCGCGGGACTAGGCATGGCAAGGGTACGATGTGCACGCGCAGGCGGGACGGGCGCGCATAGACGATGGACGATGCGCGGGCATTGGGCGTGCCGGACGACGAGCGCGGGGCGCAAGGCGACACGTGCGAGGCACAATGCGAGAACAAGCAGGCAAGCCTAATCCTCGTAGGAATAGGCAAGGCGCGAATACTAATCCTCGCAGGAATAGGAAAAGCCGTTGAGTGCCGGAACGTGCGTGAAAGATCGGTGATGGAAGTAATCCTCGAAAGATCAGGAAACGTAACCGGGATCATATTCCTAGTAGGAATAGGAATAGCGGATATGGGCTCAAAGCATAATCCTACAAGGAATAGGAGTGGCGCAGCAGGCACGAGAGACCTAGTCACCAAAGGACTAGGCGAGCATGGCAGGAACGCACGAGACGTGGCACACGGACGGGCGGCATGCCTATGCGCGGTAGGCATAGGCGAAGGGCGCGGGCGGTACGCGCATAGCGCGCGAGAAGCGAGGCGGCCGAATGAAGTTGGGGCGCAAGACTTGGAGTATTCTAGAATGGTTTGGAGTGCAAGGCAAGGAATTGGATAGCAAGTCAAGATATTAGGAGATCTAGTAGATTTAGGAATTTATGGTAGTAGGATATTTACTAGCCTTAGGATTTAATATTTAATTGTTTTAATAGTTTCCTAGTAAGATTAGCATTAGAGATAGTTGGTATCTATAAATACCCCATGTACCTCATCATATTTGACATGTTGAATGTTGAATGAAGTATTGAATTGGTGAGCCAAT